AGATGCCCTTTCTGGGGGTGTGAGACATGCCAGATTTTTTTTAGAAGGTAAATCATCAAAAACACAAATTAAGCACATGCCCGTAAGTACAACTACTTTGTTTCATCAAACCTATGTATTTATTATACATTTAACGATTACTGTGATATACAAATTGTTTTTAAGCTAATTGTAGTGAAAATATCTTGCTACAAAATACAGCGTACTGCCAGGTTGTGGGGTGTTTCTTGATGCATGCACAGATGACGATGGGGTAGCGCTGCACCTCTGTCTGAATTCAGTTAGTCGCTAACTGTTCGCGCGCCAGTTACAGTTTACTTCCACAGCAAAACTCTGCAAAGTCTCTGGGTAGTACGTGCGTATGTGTGTGTACCTACTGTACTGTTATTTGTGGTGAACAACAACACTATTTTACATATATTTAATATGCATTTAAAAGTGTATAGGCCCTCCTCTCTCCAATTATATATTTTTTTCATTTCAGTAACCCTTGCCATGTCAAAGAAATGCAAATGGAACGAGGACTATATTCGTTACAGGTTCACTTGTACAACAGAGGATGGAAATCAATGACCGCAATGTGTCCTGTGCAGCTCGTTATTTTCAAACGCCAATCTCAAACCATCGAAGCTGTCTGAACTTTTCAACAAACAGCATGGGGGTGCAGCTGCTGGACATGACATTGACACCTTGAAGTCTACAAGGGCATGATTTGATCATAGCAGAACCTTGAGGACGTTTGGGTTTGCGTCACTTGAGAAGCCCTTGTTACAAGCATTCTATCAAGTTGCATATTTGCGTGCCAAGGAAAAGAAGCCTCATACAATAGCTGAGGAATTAGTGAAACCCTGTGCATTGGAAATGGCAATAGTACTGGGACCAGATGCACAAAAGCAGCTTCAGCAGGTTCCCTTGTCAAATGATGTGATCCATTCTAGAATTCATGACATGAGCCAGGATATCTTGCAGCAAGTTATAGAAGATATCAAGGCCAGTCCTCTTAAAAAGTGTGTATTCAGCTTGACAAATCAACTGACATTGATGGCTGCAGTTAGCTGTTGGTGTTTGTGCAGTATGTAAAGGAGAAAGAAATCTTAGAAAAATTCTTGTTCTGTGAACCATTGCAATTAACTATGAAAGGAATCAATGTGTTCAATCTTGTCAAAGACTTCTTTTGAAGCATAACGCTTGATGTGTGTGGATCAATTTGCACCGATGTTGCCCCTGCCATGCTAGGAAAAAATTCAGGATTTGTTGCTTATGTAAAGAAATAAGTACCTCATATCATGATCACACATTGTATGTTGCACCATCGTGCACTTGCTGCAAAGACTTTGCCTACAAAATTGAAGGATACTTTGTCTACTGCAGTGAGCACAGTAAACTTCATCATCACCTCTTCCATGCTTTTTGAGAAGAAATTGGTGCCAAGCACACTGTCCTTTCCCATACAGAAGTGAGGTGGCTTACTGATATTTTTGAAATGTGTGAAGAAATAAGTCAGTTTCTTTGTAACCAAAGCAGTAATTTAGTTGATGACTTCGAAAATAGAGTTTATCCTTTGCCTTGCGTACATGGCAGGTGTATTCACACACCTAAATTAACTCAACACATCTAAGCAAGGAACTGGGATGAACACAGTAATGGCCAGCGAGACGTTATCTGCTTTTATTCGGAAACTTCCAGTTTGGATAAAGCGTGCTGAGAAAAGAAATTTCACTAACTTTCCTTTTCTTGAAGAAACAGTTGTTTCAGAAAATGAAGGAATGACCATCGCAACTGAAGTGACAAAAGCATTTGCAACAGTTGAGTGACTCTTTCCAAGGATATATTTCCACTGGAGAGCTTGATGTGGCAAAGAAATGCATACTGGATCCATTTCTTTTTAACCTGGATTCCATCAATGACAGTGATTTGATGAAAGATAATTAATTTTACTGCAAAATTAAAATATATAATTCTCTTTCATTCTATAGTTAGGATATATCTAGGTTTAAAGAACTGACCTACTTCAATGATTTTTTGATAAGGGGTGCGAGAACATATTTTGAGAACCAAAGGGGTGCAGGCTGCAGTGAAGGTTAAGAACCACTGCTTTAAAGGAACACTTTCCTGAGCAACAACAGACTTTCTGGGTCTTACTCACATCCAGGATCACCTCTGGCTCATCAGGCAGATTTCTACACAATCCCCTTTCAGGCAAACTGCTAGATTCCATAGTCAAAAGGTTAGAAGCATTTCTCTTTCCTTTGCCACTCACAACCTTAGGAATCTTTTCCTTCTTGCTACAAATGTCCAAACTATCAGTAGGTAACAATTAAATTACCTTTATGCTCTTCTTGTGACCTGGCTAGGATATCACCCTGATTGGATCGAGTTGCTACATCCTTTTCCAACCACACATTAGTGACAGGCAAAATACAAGCATCAGAATTGTTTGGTCTCTGGGATTTTGCTATGACGCTAACTGGACGCAACCTAGTTACAGTGCCATTCTCCCTAGCAGACATAAGCTTAGGACCATTCCCTTCCTGGACTTTAGTTGAATCCAGAACCAACTTTGAGTCAACTGCACTACCCTCAACCATCACAGGGTGAAAGGCACCTTCTGTCTGCTTTACAGACAAAGAAGAGCTAGAGACACATTCTCCTTTATCAGCCACACAGTTTGGGATCTCACTTTCCTTGTCCTAGCACACAGGGCTGTTCACAGACAACTGCTTGGAGACCAGAGTAGCTCCCTCCATAGGCAAGTCAATATCCCCAACAGACACAGGCACATTTCCTTCACTGTCACAATTCTCCACACAGGGAACAGGTAAGGTATAGGGACACTCATTTTTCACTATCCTTGCCTTCCCAAACTGCTGACTAGATAAAGCCATCAGCTCACAAGGCAGCCTAGACTCATCCAAACTTTCCTTACCAGGCACATTGCCACTCCCAACAGATAAACTGCTGCTTTTCTCACTACACTGAGCTACTTCCAGCAAATCAGTTAGTTACCCTTTTCAGGTTCACTTTTATCAGCTGTATTAGCCAATAATCCATCAGCCATCAAAAATCTACCCTTTCCTTCCCCAGCTAGGGCTTTAACTTTACCATCCACTTTACTCTGCTCCTGAGAAACATTTTCCTGACCAACGAGCTCTCTGTGCTTGACCTAATTCCAGATTCACTTCTGAGACATTAAACAGACATCCAGAAACTTCACAGACAAACTGCTTTTTTGCACAGAAAAACATTTGGAGAAACCCTCCCCAGGAAAATCATTGCGCATAATAGACACAGGTTTAAGATCATTCCTTTCCTGTGACTGGTTACCTGGACTGAGCAAAGCTTTAACATTTTCCCCAAGCAAAAGATCCTTAGGCAATAACTTCCTTACACCAGCTATAACTTCATGCTTAGTACCATTCCATTCAAGGTGGATTCTAGCTAAAGGCACACAAAGTAAACTCAGAGGACAACATTCACACCTTGATTTGGTAAGTAGTCTTCCTCTGACAAGATCAGCTTTAACAAAAGTGATGTTAGAAGCTATAATTTGCCCTAAACAGCTTTTACCATTGACTTTTACACTCTATGAATTTTCCATTATCACTTTCATAGATAGCATTGACATAGTTTATGGGGTCACCATCTACTGAATTCACAGTAACAGCATTTACATAAAAGGTGGCAGTGTTGGGATACGTTTGGTTACACCCAGACAACTGCTCAGTTATACAACATACCAACATTGTTATAAACTGGATTTTCAAGATGATGTAATTTCAGCTGTTCTTCCCTTGCTTTTTTGACTTGGAGCCTGTCTGGCAACCCTTTCCTCAGCAGCCAGTAGCTCAACATGCTCCCAACAAGCCCTTTCCTCTCTTATACCATCTTCTTTTTCCAATTCAGTCAATCTTTCACAGCAGCTTCCTTCTCCAGCTGGGCCAATGCTTGCTCTCTCTCATTCAAATTTCTGTCAGTTTTTGTCCATGTTCAAACTGCAGGCTGTCTCTCAGGGCTGCAGTTTCATTGCTTCCGCTGATGCTTTCTGGCTCATGATCATTGATCTTTAACCAACAAAACTCCCAATACCAAAATTCAAATTTGGATAGTGTGGGGTTCTGACCCAAAGCTTAATTGACCTGGTTCTGTGGATCCTGCTGACTACGCTAACGTAATGATGCTGGCTTTGGTGGGACCTAACTGAGAATATCAATTCAGGACAAATTGCTTAGAGCAGGGCAGTTACAGCCCAAAACTGGAGTTCCTTTACTATTAAGGCAAACCAAACCAGCCAAACAGAGAGGACTTTGATTTTACCCCACTGGCTAACCACAAGTCACACAAGTAATTCCCTTAGACACTCCAGTTTCCCCAGTATCACCACCCGTTATGGGGATGGTTAAGAAAAAGAAAAAAAAAGGTTCTCCCGATCCCAAAGGACCAAGCCCCAGATCCAGGTCAATATACAAATCAGATCTTACCCACAAACCACACTGTTGCCAATCCTTTAGAATCTAAAATCTAAAGGTTTATTCATAAAAAGAAAAAAAGATATAGATGAGAGCTAGAATTGGTTAAATAGAATCAATTACCTACAGTAATGGCAAAGTTCTTGGTTTCAGGCTTGTAGCAGTGATAGAATACATTGCAGGTTCAAATCAAGTCTCTGGAGTACATCCACAGCTGGGATGGGTCATTCAGTCCTTTGTTTAGATCTTCAGTTTGTAGCAAAGTCCTTCCAGAAATAAGAAGCTGGATTGAAGACAAGATGGAGGAGTCTTCCAGGCCTTTTATATCCTCTGCCCTGTGGAAGATCACAGCAGCAAGATGGAGCCTGGAGTTACATAGGCAAGTCACATGTCCATGCATGACTCAGTTCTTTACAGGTGGCAGCCACTGCCCACCATGAACGTCCCCAGGAAGACTTCTTATGTGGATTGGAGCCTTCAAAGGTCTATTGTCAGTTAAGTGTTTCTTGATTGGGCACTTAACTTGCAAGTTCCTTTCTCAAGAAGCTGACCAAATGCTTTACTAAGGCTACTTAGAACCAAAATACATTGATATACAAAGTACATAGCCAATATTCATAACTTCAGCTACAAAAATGATACACACAGATAGCATAATCATAATTAGCAAATCATAACCTTTCCATAGACACCTTACATGACAAAATACATCGGAAGGACAGAACAGGTCATGCTGGTGGGGGAGTGGCACTATATATGAAAGTATAGAATCAAATGAAGTTAAAATCTTAAATGAACAAAGCTGGACCACAGAATATATATCTATTCTATATATAGAATAGCAGTAGGGATATATTACCAACCAGGATGGTGATAGTGAAAATGCTCAGGAAGATTAGAGAGGCTATTAAAATAAAAGAATCAATAATAATAATAATGGGGGATTTCAACTATCCCCATATTGACTGGGTACATGTCACTTCAGGACGGGATGCAGAGAAAGTTTCTTCACACCTTAAATTACTGCTTCTTGGAGCAGCTAGTCCTGGAACCTACAAGAGGAGAGGCAATTCTTGATTTAGTCGTAAGTGGAGCACAGGATCTGGTCCAAGAGGTGAATATAGCTAGACCGCTTGATAACAGCGATCATAATAATTAAATTTAAAATACCTGTGGCAGGAAAACCACCACAGCAGCCCAACACTGTAGCATTTAATTGCAGAAAGGGGAACTACACAAAAATGAGGAGGCTAGTTAAACAGAAATTAAAAAGGGAAGTGCCAGAAGTGAAATCCCTGCCAGCTGCACGGAAACTTTTTAAAGACACCATAATAGAGGCTCAACTTAGATGTACACCCCAAATTAAAAAACATAGTAAGAGAACCAAAAAAGTGCCATGATGGCTAAACAACAAAGTAAAAGAATCAGTGAAAGGCAAAAAGGCATCCTTTAAAAAGTGGAAGTTAAATCCTAGCGAGGAAAATAGAAAGGAGCATAAATTCTGGCAAATGAAGTATAAAATATAATTAGGAAGGTCAAAAAAGACTTTGAAGAACAGCTAGCCAAAGACTCAAAAAGTAATAGGAAAAAAATTTAAGTATATCAGAAGCAGGAAGACTGCTAAACAACCAGTGGGTCCACTGGATGATCACAATGCTAAAGGTTCACTCAAGTCCCCCACCGAAGAAGAAAAATGGATACACATGAAAGCAGGCAGCCACTCTCTCCCTGCAAGAGGACAGCACAGCTCCTTTTCTAGAGGATTCCTCAAGCCAGCACAGTGGAAGAAGCACTGGAACATGGAGGCACTTCTTAGTGTTCTAGAAGTAGGTCTAATTACACTTCAGGATGGAACTGATTGGTTCAGTACTGGAAATGCCAAACAAGGGTTCATAACCTCTCTTCTGGTCAGATACAAATGCACCCCAACAATGACCATATATTTATTAGTCTATGGGAAAAATCAGCATTCTCACTCCAGCTCCTAGGACAGGGACCCACAGTGCAACTGCCAGTACCACACCTCCCTCAGCAGAAACCATGGAGTGAAAGGGCCATGGGGAATCAGGCTCCACTCATTTCTAGGGCTCCTCCAGGTCAGGGAGGAGGTACATGGGTTAGGCAGTGCAAGCAAGTTTGTACCACTGCTGCCAAGTTGATCAAAAGAAGACTTTACTCTCCAGGGCTGTGAAGCCAGCACTAGATTACAATACAAGTTGGTGCTTGAAGAAGTCAGCTCTTGCTGTGCTCCTTCCCCAGCACTCTGGGCTGTTTGTGAAGAAGCAAGAGACAGTTCAAATCATAGCCAAACATTTTATAAAAACAGGAAAAGTTTTGGTTTTACAGAAAGAGAAGACTTCAGCTTATATTAGGGCACATCATAAGCAGGAACTGCAGGATCTGGCAGCATTTCACCCCTCCTCCCCACATACCCCCAAGAGAACATTCAAGGGTCATGAGCAGGGATCCCAGAAATCCATTTGCCAGGGGAAAAAATACATACTGTGTTTTTATAGAGAATCTTTGTTTTTTTCCTCAATGTAAAAATTAACTAAATTTTACTGAAAGTACCAGTAGCACTTTTTCAATGTGCACAACCTCCCGCTCTTGTGGTTGATTTTTGAACGTGCTTTAAATACACATAGCTAAACATACTCCAATAAATGCTTGCGGTGTATAGAGGTTACTCAATGCCAAATAGGGTGTTGCATTTTAATGCATCTCAAATTTCACTTCAGCCTCCACACATGAGTAATTAAAGTTATAAAAAGATGCTGAAAACTTTAAAAGTCATCCCAAAGACCATGTCACTGAGTTTGGTAAGGACAAATTTAATGTTGATGGTAACCTGCTGTTCTGTACTGTATGCAGCAAGGCTGTTGGTGAAGTTTGAAGGCAGACAATCACAAAACACATGGAAAGAGCTAAACTGACTGAAAAGAAATGAAAGGCTGAAACAGCAGGGCCCTTGACAACAGTAAAGAAACAATGCACTGTGACTGGATCATTCCAGTGTTCTACAACTGTAAATATATCAATAAAACATTGTGTTCAACTGATACCTATATATTTTGTGGCTAGGGAAAAGAACGTTAAGTGTTTCATTTTAAAAATCCATGCCCCCCTCCCCCCCATTATGGTTTTTTATTGGATAATTTTTTTGTTGTTTTTTTAAATCAGAGAAAACTAGGATCCCTGGTCATGAGATACATTCCTAGCACAGATACACACATGGCAACAGAGGCAGGAAGACCAATGTCCTATCCCGTTTCAATTTCCTAAACCAAAGAATAAAACTTCTCCACTACAACGAGCAACTGTGTAAAGAACTGTGCTGAACCACAGAGCAGTGGCTGAATTGAGGGACAAGGCAAACCTGACTTTCTCCAGCATTCTCTCACACAGAGTCCTGCAATAGCAGAGGTCAGCAGGTCTTCAGCCATGACACTCATTGGCTTTGTCATCTAAGTGACTTTACCATTATATTCTTGGACAGAACGAAGCCCCAGTAATCCCCAGGGAAGGATGTTGCTATACCCCTTTCCCCGCTTTCTACCCCTGCTCCAACACACACCCTTCCTTATCACGGTCAGTCCCTTCATCCATTTCCTAGAAGGGGCCTGCTTTGGTCATAGCTCATCCCGGGCTGTACTGTCAAGAGGTGATTGGAGCACATCTGAGTTCTTGGCCTCCTTGCTGAGCTCCTGCTGTTCTTTCATTTTCTGGGATTTGGCACGGTCCCAGTCAGTTTTTACTCTCTCATTATTCCAAACCACAGAGGTCTCAGTGTCGCTGATGTAGCCATCATCACCAGTGTAATGTGTTGGGTAAACCAGCAGTGGTTCCACTGAAAAGGCCAGCAAATTCCGGTTTTCAAAATGTTCCATGTATTCAGAGCTGTTCAGAAAAGGAAAAAAAAAGTGGTGGTGGTGGGGAAAGGTGTCATGTCTTCTGCATTTACCCTACAATCCATCTTCAGCCTCCCGCACCAGTGCATTAATCCCTCCATCTACCCTGCTTCACTCCAGACACTCCTCATCCTCCCACTGCACACTGTGGCATTCAAACCACACATCAACTTACTTAATCTTCTAACCCACAATCCTTCCAGCCCGCTCCCAAGAGGGGGACATTCATCTTCCAGAAGTGTTTGTCTTTCCCTAAAAGAACAGCGGCTGTGGAAAAACATGGCAGCTCCAACAATTCCTAAGAAATGAGTGTTTTAGAGCCCTCTCCAACCCCCACCCAAGTAGCTCCAACCAGATCTCAGCCTCCTGGGGCATAACCAGACTACAAAAGCCAGAAGCCATCTTGTTACTACTGTCATGTGGGAATGAGCCTAGGACAGTCAGGAAAAACACTGCTTGAACCAGGCAGTGTTGAGCAAGATGGTCTGAAGGTGTGATGTCAGCTCTCACTGACAGGGCTGGGTGGCCCATTTGATCCTCAGTAAAGTGGCAGATTTTAGAAGCTGTATCACGGAGCAGACTGGACTGCAAGTCCCTTCACAGAAATTCCAGTACGGTGATCAAGTCAGTCAACAGTAAAGGGCTACAGCAGGCTCGTGCCCTTGCTGTGCAGGAACTCCAGTGGCCTCCTTGGATTAGAATTAGAACCAGCCAAAGTTTTTGGCATTTAACAAATGGCTTTTTTGTCAAAACAGAAAATTCTGCAGGAAGTGTCTGATTTCACCCACGTTTCTCAGGTATTCAGTACCCATGGGGTTTTTTAATGAAGACAAACATTTCTGGTTGTTCAATAAAAATATCAAAAAGCTTTAAGAAAAATTAAGAAAAAATATAGGTATGTCAATCACAGTTAACTCACACGATTAACTCAAAAAAATTAATCACAATTAATTGCACTTATTCTATAATACCAGTTGAAATTTATTAATTTTTTTAATCGCATGACAGCCCTAGAAAAATGTTTTCATTCAAATTTTTCATAGGAACTGTGATGTGTCATTCCATATTCTTATTAAATTATGCTTATGATACAAATATGACATAACTGAGATACACTTTATGTCAGATGGCTCATGTGAGATATCATTAGAGGTTATGATTTATTGAATGCAATTATCCAATCTGTATGCCTGTATCATTTCTGTATCTGAAGTTAGGAATATTGACTATGTATCCGTATTTCAACCATGCTACTTTGGGTGACGCTCACTGCTAACAGTTCAGATACAACAATGGAAAAGCCAGACAGGGCAGATGGCCCATCAGCAAGGACAATAAGCTGTGAAAAACTTGGCCTTCCAGTGGATGTTCCATACTGCCATTGACTCATGGACGCTGTGATCCTACAGAGTCAGGGGGTCTTGCCCCCGATACTAAACATTACCTGGGACTTCTTGTAATTTTTCACTGTAAGGGAAGGGGGTGCCAAGTTTGGGAAAAAAAGGATTCCTGCCTTATGTAAATCCTATTTAAGGGTGGGGAGGAAGGCAAACAAGACTCCTCCCCCTTCATGGCCTGTCTGCCCAAGAAGAAAGACTGCAAAATGTAAGGCAAGGTGGGAGTCCAGACTGAGACAGGTTTCAGAGTAACAGCCGTGTTAGTCTGTATTCGCAAAAAGAAAAGGAGTACTTGTAGCACCTTAGAGACTAACCAATTGGTGCTAAGGTGCTACAAGTCCTCCTTTTCTTTTTGCGAATACAGACTAACACGGCTGTTACTCTGAAACCGGTCATTATGCAAGGCACTGCATTTAGCCGTATGGAGTGGAAATCTATCAACTGCATGAAAAAACTTGTCCAGATACAGACAGACATCATCTTCCTTTCCAAATGCAAACAGATGGACATCGTACCAAAAGGACTGAAGGTAAAAAATCCATTACAATCTACATACCACACAAACTGGTTAGTCTCTAAGGTGCTACAAGTACTCCTTTTCTTTTTGCAGACTGAGACAGGGGTCTAGTCTGAAAAGAACTAGAACTTGAACTCTGAACCACAGAAGCTTTGCAAACTGCCCGCAACAATATCTAGGGTGAGAAATACTATTTGTAACCAATTTCTTAGTGAAACTAGCTTAGTTTGCGTGTTTGATTTCGTTTGCTTATTCTACTTTGTTTTGTTTGTTACCCCTTTTAACACTTAAAATCTGCCTTTTATAGTTAATAAAATTTGATTATTATTAAACCCAGATTCTGTAATTTCTAACGGGGTGGGGACGGGGAGAAGTGTGCACATCTTGCTTGCACATCTTATCTTAAACATAAAAAAGAAGCTTACAAGAAGTGGAAGGTTGGACATATGACCAGGGAAGAGTATAAAAATATTGCTCGGGCATGTAGGAATGATATCAGGAGGGCCAAATCGCACCTAGAGCTGCAGCTAGCCAGAGATGTCAAGAGTAACAAGAAGGGTTTCTTCAGGTATGTTGGCAACAAGAAGAAAGCCAAGGAAAGTGTGGGCCCCTTACTGAATGAGGGAGGCAACCTAGTGACAGAGGATGTGGAAAAAGCTAATGTACTCAATGCTTTTTTTGCCTCTGTTTTCACTAACAAGGTCAGCTCCCAGACTGCTGCGCTGGGCATCGCAAAATGGGGAAGAGATGGCCAGCCCTCTGTGGAGATAGAGGTGGTTAGGGACTATTTAGAAAAGCTGGACGTGCACAAGTCCATGGGGCCGGACGAGTTGCATCCGAGAGTGCTGAAGGAATTGGCGGCTGTGATTGCAGAGCCATTGGCCATTATCTTTGAAAACTCGTGGCGAACGGGGAAGTCCCAGATGACTGGAAAAAGGCTAATGTAGTGCCAATCTTTAAAAAAGGGAAGAAGGAGGATCCTGGGAACTACAGGCCAGTCAGCCTCACCTCAGTCCCTGGAAAAATCATGGAGCAGGTCCTCAAAGAATCAATCCTGAAGCACTTGCATGAGAGGAAAGTGATCAGGAACAGCCAGCATGGATTCACCAAGGGAAGGTCATGCCTGACTAATCTAATCGCCTTTTATGATGAGATTACTGGTTCTGTGGATGAAGGGAAAGCAGTGGATGTATTGTTTCTTGACTTTAGCAAAGCTTTTGACACGGTCTCCCACAGTATTCTTGTCAGCAAGTTAAGGAAGTATGGGCTGGAAGAATGCACTATAAGGTGGGTAGAAAGCTGGCTAGATTGTCGGGCTCAACGGGTAGTTATCAATGGCTCCATGTCTAGTTGGCAGCCGGTATCAAGTGGAGTGCCCCAAGGGTCAGTCCTGGGGCCGGTTTTGTTCAATATCTTCATAAATGATCTGGAGGATGGTGTGGATTGCACTCTCAGCAAATTTGCGGATGATACTAAACTGGGAGGAGTGGTAGATACGCTGGAGGGGAGGGACAGGATACAGAAGGACCTAGACAAATTGGAGGATTGGGCCAAAAGAAATCTGATGAGGTTCAATAAGGATAAGTGCAGGGTCCTGCACTTAGGACGGAAGAACCCAATGCACAGCTACAGACTAGGGACCGAATGGCTAGGCAGCAGTTCTGTGGAAAAGGACCTAGGGGTGACAGTGGACGAGAAGCTGGATATGAGTCAGCAGTGTGCCCTTGTTGCCAAGAAGGCCAATGGCATTTTGGGATGTATAAGTAGGGGCATAGCGAGCAGATCGAGGGACGTGATCGTTCCCCTCTATTCGACATTGGTGAGGCCTCATCTGGAGTACTGTGTCCAGTTTTGGGCCCCACACTTCAAGAAGGATGTGGATAAATTGGAGAGAGTCCAGCGAAGGGCAACAAAAATGATTAGGGGTCTGGAACACATGAGTTATGAGGAGAGGCTGAGGGAGCTGGGATTGTTTAGCCTCCAGAAGAGAAGAATGAGGGGGGATTTGATAGCTGCTTTCAACTACCTGAAAGGGGGTTCCAAAGAGGATGGCTCTAGACTGTTCTCAATGGTAGCAGATGACAGAACGAGGAGTAATGGTCTCAAGCTGCAGTGGGGGAGGTTTAGATTGGATATTAGGAAAAACTTTTTCACTAAGAGGGTGGTGAAACACTGGAATGCGTTACCTAGGGAGGTGGTAGAATCTCCTTCCTTAGAGGTTTTTAAGGTCAGGCTTGACAAAGCCCTGGCTGGGATGATTTAACTGGGAATTGGTCCTGCTTCGAGCAGGGGGTTGGACTAGACCTTCTGGGGTCCCTTCCAACCCTTATATTCTATGATTCTATGATCTCTCTCCACATTGAGGGAGGGGGCAAATTTCATAATATATCTTTAGGTCTGCACTCCAAGGGAGGTTGACATCTGAGTACTGGAGCAAGTCTCTTAAGCTGATCTTCCTAGAGCTGATCTGCAGCTGTGTGTGAGTGACACCGACAGACACGCAGTTTTAAGTTCCTGGCTCAGCAAGACAGGCTAAAGGGGGCCCATGCTGGCAGAACAGGTAGACTCAGTGGTTTCTAGGCACATCAGGTGGCTTCCGAAGGGGTCCAACCCATCACAGGAACAATAACCATTTCCTCAATCAGCTCTAGTTAGAATCTCTCATAACAAGTTCTCATGCTGCTTCCAGGGACAAGCAGGAAAGCTCTGCAGTACCCTCACACCCACTCCATATGCTACTACTGGGATATGTGAGGCTTCACTGCCAAGTTCAGAACACAGGGGTTATTCCCTGTTCAGCTACAGCAGCTGACTACAGACTCCATCTCCGACCACCGCTGAAGCAGCAGCAAAGAGTTTTTTCAAAGCTCTGCCTGCAACAGGCTTCTCACTTCAGAATACAATGCTTCAGGATCCCTTCCCCCTCGCACCCACCCTTCCTATAGGCTGATACACCCTTCTTTCCACAGCACTAGGCCCCAGAGGATGCAGTCCAGACTCACACAGGGTGTTTGTCAAACATGACAGGAAGAAATTCATCCACCGGTAACATCTTGGAGAGTGGCTCAGCCGCCAGCAGCTTCTGGGCACCCTGCAGTGAAATCACATAGGCTAGAGTCCAGTAGGAATAATCTGCCTCCACCAGGTTCCGCACGTGAGGCACAGACTTCTCTGGATGCTCCACCTGCATTCGCTTCCTCCCAATGTAACTGGGGGAGACAGACAGCAGCACAAGATTATCTTTTAGAAAGAGACTCACATTCTAGCTCAGGGGTCTCAAACTTCATTGCACTGCGACCCCCTTCTGACAACAAAAATTACTACAGGACCCCAGGAGGGGGACAAAGCCTGAACCCATCTAAGCCCCACCACGGGAGGGGAGGGAAGGGGGCAAAGCCAAAGCCCCACTACCCCAGGCTGGGGGGGGCCAAAGTCCAAGGGCTTCAGCCCCAGGCAGGGGGCCTGTAATCTTAGCCCTGCCACCCAGGGCTGAAGCCCTCGGGCTTGGGGCCTGGGCCCCAGCAAGTCTAAGACAGCCCTGGAGACCCGATTAAAATGGGGTCCCAACCCAGAGATTGAGAACTGCTGCAAGCAGCAGTTAGGGTGGAATTCTGTGGCCAGCTTTATGCAGGAGGTCAGATCAGATGATCTAATAGCAGTGGCCTTTAAAAAAAAAAAAAAGAAAAAGAAAATCTATGAAATCCCCATGCCTGGAATCAGTCAACATAGGTGGAGAGCAGAGGTGGCAGGTATCCTTGTAGCATAGGGCAGCAACTTCTGGCATAAAACAAACCCACTGTCTGGTTAACATGGTACATGGTCCTCTCTGATGTTGTGTTTGTGCATGGTACAGAAATCTTGTGTAGTCATTAGTGGGTGAGCCTATGCTCTGAACAGAGTGCAGCTCAGCCTTCTCACCAGCACCCAGGCTCTACCAGAATTGTTCCATTGGAGCTGTTGGTAACAGGGAAATCAATGACCCCTCTGTTCCCAGTCTGCCAAGTCAAAGTATCACTCTCTCCTTATTCAAATCCCTTTCAAAAAGCCACTTCTTCCTAATGCCTACAAAAAGCAAGTTTTTAATAATCAATGGGTAGGTTCTCGCTCTTTTAGACTGCAAGCTCTTTGGGGCAGGATTTATGTATTGTATAACACAGAGTGTACTGCCAGAGATAAACAGATAATTAAAGACAAGTGCCCAGGGAAGCTGAGTAGAACATCAGTATAATGTTCTGATCTTCTGCACTTACATCAAGTCCCAGTCCAGACCCTCTTCTTCGAGGTCATACATCAGATTCATTAGCCGTCGTTTAAAGAATATTTCAAACCGCAGGTCATCCTCAAACACGACTGATTTCTCCAGCCCTCTCTCCACAATCTAGCAGAACAGAAGCCAAGTCAGAGAACCTGAAATGCCTGCCCCTCCTTCGCACCACCCCCCGTGACATGTAATTTATCTCTCCTTCTTTCACAGCACTGGTATCTATTTTAGTGCTGAGGAATTAGCTCTCTTTTGCCCCCCAACCTCTTCCATGTGTATTCCCTTTTACCACCTCTAGGGCACATCAAGGCATCAAGAGGAAGGTTCAGATTTTGTCAGTTATTTTTAGTAAAAGTCACAGACAGGTTGTAGGCAACAAACAAAAATTCACGGAAGCCCGTGGCCTGTCTGACTTTCACTAAAAATAATGGGGCGAGGCCTGACAAGGGGATGACTGAAGCCTGAGCACTGGGGTGGGGGAAGAAGAGATGAGAGTCTGAACCCCGCTGCAGGGCCTCCCGCCACTCATGGTGGCTGAAGAGGAAAATGTCATGGAGGTCTCTGAAAGTCACGGAATCCGTGACCTCCATGACATAATCTTACCCTTAATCATGAGATCTGCAAGACTGCTCCCAACCTGATGTGTATAAATATACCCATTGTGGCTCACACAGTAACCCAAAAAACCAGAGGAGGGCACCACCCTGCTACCTACACACTCCTCTCACCCAACTGAACTAACAGCATCAGCATGTGAATTCCTGCTCAATGCAGGGGCTATGCAAATCTCTGGATGGTCCTGAGCATAAATCCCCACCACCTCCCACAAGACTGTACGTCCCTGCTTATCTTTTGTGCAACTGAAAACCCCCTGCCAAGAGCAGTGGGAATGCTGGAAATGGTAGAACCATGGCAGGAGCACAAACTGAAAAGGTTCTTGTTTGGCCATCACACCCACACAGAACAAGTGTTCTGAAGGGGTCAGAAGCACCAAGATTCCTGGAGCTCTCCTGAGAATGCAGACTCTCTCACCTCCTTCCAGATCTTGTAGTGACTGAGGAAGCAGCCCAGCTCCCCTTTGGTGAGTGGACGGCCGTGGTATGGATCCTTATATCCTGGCAGCATCTGAATCCCCATGGCTTCCACCTCACTGCTGTTCATGGCTCTGCAAACAAGCACAATGTGGTTAATGCCTCCGTCAGCACAGAACAGCAGCTGGCTTTGGAGTCTCTGCTAATGCTCATAAATGCAGCTTCTCTCCCCAAGAAATCTCCAGGCCACTTTATTTTAAGACTCTCTCTTTGCAGAAAAGATGAGAAACAGAACAGAAAATGCTAGGATTACTCATTCTCAGTCATTTTAGGAAGAATGCAGGTAGTTTAGGTCAATACAACAGCTGTTCTGGCAACAGCTCAAGGCACTAGACAGCCATTGTCTTGTTTCCTCACCCTGAGGGAGCTTGTGTGCACATGCAGGGAAGGCATTATTAGAGGAACTATACAGGCTATTCACTCAGCAGCCTCTTTGTCCATTGACAGGGTGGGATGAAGGGAGACAAAGCCTTACAATCCACAAGGGGCTTCTGACAGCAGAGAACTTTGGGTGTCAGTGCTTCCCAGTCACTTCATAGAGAGTCTAGCTCCTCCTTCTTCCCTCCACCAAGCAATGGAGTTGCCCTACTTCCCTGCATCTCCAAGAGACAACATCAGCTCCTCCCAATAAGTCCACCCTCCAAGAACCCTCATTGGAATATTCCAGTTCCTTATTATCAGGTGCTGGACTGGGCACATGCGTGTTCTCTGGATGCACTCACTTTCCATCCACAGCCTCAATGATTTTGCAGTCGATCTGCTGCTCGTACAGCGTCCGCAGCATTCGCTCTCGTCGATCTGCCCTGCGCTTTAAGTTAATCATGAAAACCTGAGGAAATAAAATCCATGGCCATGATTGTGCAGGGAGGTCCCTACCACACCCAGAGAGGCAAGAACTCAAGTGCAACCTTGCTGCATCTTGCACTGAACACAAGGGAAGAGATACCCTGTGCTTTATTAAGACCTAGCAATGAAGCTCAGGCATTAGAGAGTCTGAAGTGACCACAGGAGGAAGCTCAGCTTGTGCAAACTAAACACTATTCTTCATCTCAGTAACGTGCCTGTATGGAGCAAAGTCCTGACTCACCTCATCAAAGCTCATCTTGTCAGGGACCTTGGGCAGGACGGACAGGTATTGTGAAGGTTCCACCGGAGGGTTCTTCACTAAGGGAAAACCGAGAAATGGAACGTAAATGGGTTTCTGTAAGACATTATCTTCCAGGCATAAGGCCAAGGGAACCCTCTTAGCCCCCACAACTCCAAATGGGGCACAGCTACTGCCACACTAGGAACAGCCCTCCAAACAAACCACCACAGAGTAACCAGGTACAAACAATCCACTGGGGCGTGAGAAAGAAAAGGATCCTCTAATTTTCTGTTCCACGACTGATCTCCTATATCCCTTCTCGCTGCTAGCCTTTGGTCAGTGCCCCACAAGTGCCTGACATGGATGTTTACGCTTATTAGTCCTGTTGACTGACATGTTGCTCTCTCGTTTATTATTTACTTCAGGTTTTTGCTCTTGTTGGGAGGAGATTCTCCAGCCTCAAGGAGTGAGCAAAGAGTACTCAACAAATTAATTAGAGAACGTTTGCAGGCAGATCTGAACAGGAAACCACTGTCTAGAGCTGCATTTACAGAAATATTCTGCCTCTAAAGACAAGGAGAATGCAAGCTTGTGCAGCTGAAGCCATGCTCTGTGTGCAGCCAAGGGAAAAAAAAAAATCAAAGGAATAAACCTCTGGCATCAAACTCTCAGATATATAAAACTATTTTAAAACAGTTAATATTATCCTATGATCTGGGCTCTCCCTCTTGCATTACTCAAATTTACAGAGACGTGTTTTTAAATGGCTAGGAATCAGTCCCCATCCCTTTAAGTGTTGATAGGGAATGGTCAGTAAAAGAATCTCTGTGCAGCCAGGACCAATATAGAGAGATACTGTGAACCGTACCTAGGAATATACCCAGGGGAGAAAACATGGAGTCTAACACACTCCCTATACCATACACACCAGAATTCAGATTACCACACACACACACAGAGCAGAGTGGCTGGGCACTGCCATACAGGCCTTGCAGACACCAGAGGCCAAGAGGGGGAAAAACTGAAAGAGGCCTGTGTGGCAAACTGCAGTCACAGGAGACGAGGGGCCCTAAAGGTTAGTGGAAAAAGCAACATAGTCAAATCAGGAAGAAACGCTCTCTGTTTTTAAGTGGTACAAACAGCAACCACAGGAGCTGAACAATTTACCCAGATGTCAACAGGCAAGACACTATGCTGCTCCCTCACTACCTGCAGCTCCAAGCATGGCCAAGGGAACTGTGGAATCATTTGAGATAGAGCTTCCATAGAAACTACCATTCTAGCCATTCTGCTTTAACAATTCCTCAATACATTTTCCTCCTTCCATCCAACCACCAGCTTTGAGGAAGCTGTGGCTGAATCCCCAGGACAGAGACAGGTCCCAAATTCAGAATGTCAGAAGTAAGAGGGAAGAAGGAAAACTCTCTAAGCAATTCCCAGTCCAAGCCTATGAATGTTCTGTTTCTGTTGGCATCCAGCACTTACCCATAATCTCCAGCTGCACGTGCATGAAGCTTTCCACCTCATCCCGCATGGTGCTGTGGGCTCTCAGTGGCACCGGCAGGAAGCCATAAACCTCTTTGTTGCATACAAACATCTGGACCTCTGAAGTTAATACACAGAGAAGATGCTAGTAGGACACTGCTCGAAACCCACTCAGTGGCAAACCCAGCCCACATCATGGAACTGCATAAGGCACCCATGTCCCTGGCTTTCATAAGTCAGCCCAATAAGACCTCACATGGTCTGCATGAGACAACTGCATTAGAGGGGCATATTGTGCAGTGGCCTGTACTCTAAGCTGTCCAAGATAACAAAAATGCCAACCCAGTCCATTATATACAATTGTTTACATAAGTACAAGAGACTGACACTCACTGGATTGTTAAGCTGGAAGAGCTGTGCTAAAGTCACAGGGTGGCTTGAGTTAGGAAAGGAAATGTTTGTAGTTGAAATCACTTAAATGGGTTTTCTTGGTTACTGTATCATGGAATGATGTCTCCTTTCCTTTTTGAACATTGCTTCTTCACTATGTCACTAAAAAGGTCAGGGGGACAGGGGAGCAAGCTTCTCCATCCTGGTTGCAGCTCCCCTACCATTTCCTGGAACCCTGGGATCCGCCATGACACCATTGGGCCTTTGTCATCTTGATCCTGAAAGATGATGTGACCAGGCCAGAGAAAGGGAACCAAATGACATCATCCCCTCCATCGGCTTTGCCTAAACCTTGAATGTCTGAGATTTGAGCATTGGGTTCCAGCTATCGTTCCTCCCTCATGTCATTTTCCTTCCTTGCCTTATTTCTTCTGTTTCTAACTTCTCTTTTTGCCTTCGGCCTAATAAGAGTCTGGCTTTAGCTGGCCAAGACAACTCCACATTTGCACACTGGTATGACAGGAGAAGCAACTAAACGCAATTCTTTAAACAGACCAACACTGGTAAAAGTTTGCCATGTCTCAGAGTAGCTGATAAGATCATTTACTGGTCCTATAGTTTCCCAGCAGCAAGGTTGCAAGCCAAAAACAAAACCCTCACAAAACCTAGCAGAGACAGATGCTGTATTTTCTATCTTTTCTACTCTTCTCTTTCCATTTGTGTGCATTTATCTTGTTTGGTATTAAAGGAAACAGGACTTTCAACAGCAGCAGCTGCTCCAGACCATCTAAACTAACTTTCCTCTCTTCTCCCTCATCTCCCCACAAGAGGGCAGCTAATACCATCTAAAAAACTATAAAGCAAGTTTGAGAGGAACAGCCGTGTTAGTCTGTATTCGCAAAAAGAAAAGGAGTACTTGTGGCACCTTAGAGACTAACCAATTTATTTGAGCATGAGCTTTCGTGAGCTACAGCTCACTTCATCAGATGTATACCGTGGAAACTGCAGCAGACTTTATATACACACAGAGAATATGAAACAATACCTCCTCCCACCCCACTGTCCTGCTGGTAATAGCTTATCTAAAGTGATCAACAGGTGGGCCATTTCCAGCACAAATCCAGGTTTTCTCACCCTCCACCCCCCCACACAAATTCACTCTCCTGCTGGTGCTAGCCCATCCAAAGTGACAACTCTTTACATAATCAAGTCGGGCTATTTCCTGCATAGATCCAGGTTTTCTCACATCCCCCCCACCCCCATACACACACAAACTCACTCTCCTGCTGGTAATAGCTCATCTAAACTGACCACTCTCCAAGTTTAAATCCAAGTTAAACCAGAACATCTGGGGGGGGGGGGGGGTAGGAAAAAACAAGAGGAAACAGGCTACCTTGCATAATGACTTAGCCACTCCCAGTCTCTATTTAAGCCTAAATTAATAGTATCCAATTTGCAAATGAATTCCAATTCAGCAGTTTCTCGCTGGAGTCTGGATTTGAAGTTTTTTTGTTTTAAGATAGCGACCTTCATGTCTGTCATTGCGTGACCAGAGAGATTGAAGTGTTCTCCGACTGGTTTATGACTGTTATAATTCTTGACATCTGATTTGTGTCCATTTATTCTTTTACGTAGAGACTGTCCAGTTTGACCAACGTACATGGTACATTGTACAATGTACCAGCAGGAGAGTGAGTTTGTGTGTGTATGGGGGTGGGGGGGATGTGAGAAAACCTGGATTGGTGCAGGAAATAGCCCGACTTGATTATGTAAAGAGTTGTCACTTTGGATGGGCTAGCACCAGTAGGAGAGTGAATTTGTGGGGGGGGGTGGAGGGTGAGAAAACCTGGATTTGTGCTGGAAATGGCCCACCTGATGATCACTTTAGATAAGCTATTACCAGCAGGACAGTGGGGTGGGAGGAGGTATTGTTTCATATTCTCTGTGTATATATAAAGTCTGCTGCAGTTTCCACGGTATACATCTGATGAAGTGAGCTGTAGCTCACGAAAGCTCATGCTCAAATAAATTGGTTAGTCTCTAAGGTGCCACAAGTACTCCTTTTCTTTTTACTATAAAGCAAGTTTCAGAGGAACAGCCGTGTTAGTCTGTATTCGCAAAAAGAAAAGGAGTACTTGTGGCACCTTAGAGACTAACCAATTTATTTGAGCATACATACATGCTCAAATAAATTGGTTAGTCTCTAAGGTGCCACAAGTACTCCTTTTCATAAAGCAAGTGTTCCCCCCCCCCATAAAATACTCTATACAACTAAAAGGAATAAGGAAAGCTATTAAAATGAAAGCCTGTGTTAATGCAGTACATTTCAAATCCTTCAATTGTTTTTAATTCTTTTTCTGACTTTAAATGGTTAAAAAGATTTTATAATGGTGAGCATTACAACAATAGGAGTCATAGCAATTACTTGATATGAGACGCCAAACCATGCCTAACTGAACTATTGAGCACTGCAACAGTAAACAAGGATTTTGTTTATATCTTATCCCTTGTTGGGCCCAAGACATCCCCTTACCAACACAGCAGACAACCTAATCCCCCTTTGGAAAAGGATGGCTGCAGGCTCCTCATCTCTCAATCCAGAGCAGTGCTACAAACCCAGCCTATGCTAGCAAGAAGTGCATAAGCAGCAATATCCATTAACTCACCTGCCTGCTTGCAGGCAAATGCAAACACAATGATGTCATCAAAAGACCAAGTGTAATCTCGGTGTGGTGGGTAGAAGGCAAGGTCCTGGGAGGCCTCTTTCCGCAGGTCAATCAGGAAAGTGGAGTGCACCATGGGGACAGCAAAGCAGCCACGGCGATCTCGTTTTCGAATGGGAATGTAGGCAGGAGTGCGTTTGTAATAACCCTAAAAAGGGAAAAAGGAGCCTCTTGCAGGAACCTTTATGAGGGAGGCAGCTGGGAGCTGCTCATGCACACAATGGATCCTGTATGCAAAGTCCTACTGTACACAGGGACTGGAGGAGGAACGTATGTCAGAACCCCAGGCCTCCTCCTACCTGCGAGGTCATTCCACACCAGAAGTTAGAATAGGCAGCACGAGAGTCCAACATGGGTGCCACTACAGTCTTGTTCTCTGCCATCAGCAGGCCCAGGGTGTCTGGGTTTGTCAGGAGATTATCTGCATCCACAAACTGCAAACAGCAAAGAGACACAACAAGTACAGTCAATTCCAATGCAGCTAGTCCGGTCCCTGCGTCAGCCTGGTGTGCTCCACCCTGAGCCATTCCTATGTAAACCCTGTGAATGCTTTCTAACTGCTCCCAAAGACACTCTCAGAATGTCCACTGACCCTAGGAGCTCCACACTAACTAGATATTATTGCTTTCGTTTTGATAAACACAGGTATTTCTGTTCCTCCTTCTCAGTGCTGACAGGCAGGATCCATCAGCCAAGCCTGGAAACACATGGACTGCTGAGCCACAAAATATCCCATGCCAGCACATCAGTATAGCACAGGCAGTATTTGAGTCCAAATGGATTTCTATTACCTAAAGCCCAGTCACAAAATTCTCTTAAAGGCAGCTGCTATTCCAAATAGAGAAAAAGAGACCCCTCTCAGAAGAAGTGCACCCTCAAGGGAGGGGTTCCTTAAATTCAACTACAGTCCTTCCTGTTTGGACGTGAGAAACACAAAGATAGGTGTGACAGACATTTATATGTACATTAACTACATTCATACCTAAGCCAGTTAGATCATAAAGCTACTAAAGAAGGCTACAGCCTCCAAGCCCTCCTGGTTTGGAGCAACATCTTCACAACAGCAATATTTTAAAGATGCTTCCACTTCTCCAAGCAGGCAGGAAAACACTCATTTTCATGCCACTGTCACCAGCATAGTTACTGCATGACACTGCATTGATAGCAATTCATTGGTCAAAGAGAGGCACCAGCAGAGCTCAGCTTCATGCATCTGAGGGACACAGAGTGCTTGCAGGGATCCAGTCAAGGACATCATATGGACTATTCCCACCCACTAGGTTATCACCATATATTGGTCGCTGCCAAAAGCGGAACACCGAAGTACGTAGATAATGGGCCATGGACTGCCTGGATGCGGTCTGGCTATTCCTGTGCTGATGTAGCTCTGGTGTGCAGGGCCAGGCTAGTGTAATCAGCAGCATTAGCCCAGGTGAGAGGCAAACAGAAACCTGCACAACTGAACTGATCTTGGATTTGGTTTGAAAATGGAAAATGACTGGACATAAACATAGCATCTGCCACCACAGTACCAAAGGCAGGGAGATTTTCTTACCAAGATGTAGTCAGCCCACATGTCCCTGGCAGATTTCAAGGCTGCTTGTCTGAGCTTCATCACGTGCTCATAGCGAGAATTTGACCAGTGCTTCAGGCCTTCCTCATCCAGATAGGACCTGCCAGGGATTAGTCTCTGTTAAAGTCCCAGCTGGGTTTATCCCTCCTTACTGCTTTTCCCAAAAGTTACATGATGTGAATATGTAGCTGGAATGAACTCAGCACAAGTGTCAAATCTGAGAGGTGAAAGGCAAGCTAGTTGCAAAAGCCGCCCAGCCCTCCCCTTTAGCCACACCACAATCCAAGAGGTCAGTAATGTCATGGAGGCCCTGAGACTCTACAGAAAAAGGAAGGCATTTGATAGACAGACATGTCTTGTTGGTCTCTATGGACCCAATTAAACCCTTGGGCTAACAGAATACCCTCTATATGTTGTGGAGACCATTGATGCAGCAGAGTCAATTGCTCTGACACACCAGTTTATGAGCATCTCTGAACAATCTTGTCTACAACTGCAGCCAATCCAATCCTGCCACAAACAGTGACTTCTATCAGAACCCTGACCTGCTCTCCAGCACACTGCTCCCAAGTGACAAGCATGCTGAATGGTCTAAAACAAGGAAGATCAGATAAGGCAGAATTTAATGCTGTCTCCTTGGTGTCTGCAGATTTTGAAAGGGAAACAGATTTTTTTTTCTTATACATTCAAAAAATGAGAATATTGAAGAATTTACATGGGATTCTCGATAGCACTTGGAGACCAGCTCTGTTCAGTAATTTGCAGGCAGGTCTGCAAGGCTGTATGACCTGGGCGAGCTTCTGACTGTATGACCTGGGTGAGCAGCTTGACTTTCCTATCTGGAGCAAACACTGCAGCAATCATCCTCCCATCCCTGGCACCCCCTCCCACCATTTGAGTGCATGTCTGTGAGGTCAAGGGAGGTCATTGATGGGAAGGAAGCCAGTGCTTAGAATGGAGCCAGTGCACTTGCTGGGGGGAAAAGGGGTTCAGTCATTCACCCATCCTCACTTTGAGAGTTCAGCAGGGCTAAGATGAAACTTAACAAAATCACATGCCCCAGAGAAACAAGGATCATCAATAAACCCTATCTGCTCCCTGGCCCTGGGGCAGTCTTTTACAATGAATGCCTACCCCTCCCACAGAGGTTAACTCCACCTTTAACCTTTTAATTTACCCTTTTACTGAGGAAATCAATAAACCTGAGCAGCTGTCTCTCTTCCCACTGAATGCAGATTCATTGGCAGGCAAGTTTAGCCAGGTGCTGGTAACAGTCTCTGAGGCAGGGTCTCACCTGGGCTCCTCCATCGGCCTCCACTCCACATAGTGATACAAGGTCTGAACATTTATCAGCCATTCTCGTAGCACAGCCGTTGTGTTGTCAGTGTTGTGGTCTGTTGCCACCCTGAAAAACACCCAACAGTGACACACTGCTAAGTAGGGACATGAACCCTCCTGGCGCTTTCCCCCATGCCCTGCAGGGGAAGCTGGAGCAATGCTCTTGGTTAAGGCTACGATTCAATTGTGAGTATCTTTAGTAAAAGTAATGGACAGGTCACGGGGGAGAGGAGAAAATCACAGTCCCATGACCTGCGGGCACTATGGGGGCAAAGCTGGGAACCCGCCACTGCCAGTGAGGGGATAAGGAGCCCCATGGGGGGAGAGGCAGGGAGGACACCGGCGGAGAGGGGGGAAGCCCTGCAGGGCATCGCTCCGGCTGCTACCCAGGGGGTGAGGGCATGGAGTCCCGGGAGGCCCACTGCTGCTCCGGTCACCGCCAGGGATGAGGGAGCCCTGGGGCCAGACACATTGGCAGCTACTCAGGCGGTCCCTGGGGCCAGCTGCCAAGGGCCATCAGAGCAGTGGCCAGTGCCGCTGGCTGCAAGACTGCCCAAGTGCCTGACTGCAGAACTGCTATAGCAGTGGCCAGTGAGGCTGACCCAGGCTGCCTGAACATCTGGCTCCGGGGCCAGCTGCATGGGTGGCCCTGGGGTCAGCAACACTGGCCACTGCAGAAGTCATGGAATCTGTGAGTTCCATGACAGACATGGAGCCCTACTCTTGGTCCATGCTGCCTCCCGTCACACCCTGCAGGAGAGTCTGAGGTAAATCCCACCATCTCATATAGTTTTGCATCTGCAAAGCTGCTCATTTCCCCTCTAGGTTCCACTCAGCCCACAGGAGACACCCATGTTCCCAGAATTCTGGGCTCTCCATTCTAACCCTGCTCCTCCTCATACCCTATTGAATCAGGAGCCTCTTGTCCTTTCTCATCCTCTCTAGTTCAAGGTTTTGCTCTAATGTAAGAAAACCAGGCAATCAGCATCCCAGACACCCTATTCTAACCCAGTCTCGTTGAGAATGGATCCCCAACACAAGAGGCACAGCTGTCTTTAACCATAGTAGCAAACAGGGGTGGGAGGTGGGCATACCTTCACTCTCCACTTTCCAAGCATACAATTCACCCACCAGGGAAAAGGGGCTCACTGAGCCCTGGGACCACTCCTTCAGCCACCATGAGGTGGCAGGAAAAGTTCTCTTCCTCAGTCTATACTTAACTCAAAGTGGTAGAGAGTCTGCAGTAATGCCTTTCGTTCCTGCTGCTGTAACGCAAGCTCCAGTGGGAATTTCAAAGCAGGTACTAAATCCCTTGGGTAAGATACCTTCCCTGTTGACAACACTACCCACCCAGCTCATCCATGTAACAGCCACGTTATTTCTCTAGTCGCACAGAGCGCTGGCTACATGCACTTGAAGCTGTTAAAGCCCAGACACTTGGGGCAAGTTGGCAAGTATTTCATTTGGGCCAAGGTGGCTTTAAAGTGCTAATCAGCAACCTAGAAAAGGTAACAGGACTCTCCCATCCAACAATACCCAGATTGGCCCAGGGTCTCACTAGAATCCTGTCTGTTCTCAAGAAAGGCCCCAGGCCCACAGCGTGGGACTGCAGGGAGCAGGCAAAGGGAATTGTCTGAATCTCACCAACCCCCAGAGCCACTAAATGGCCCGCAGTGCGGCAGTGGGAGAAAATCGCAGGCGGGTCCCGAGCCCCATCAGCTCCTTCCGGGGCCAGGGAAGGGAACAAATATGTGTGGAGAGAAGCCAAGATCCTAAGTACCTGGGTGGGGAGGGAGAAAGTCCTGCGGTGGCAGGGTGGGTCCTGGTAATGTGTGTGAGAGATTCCCAGAGATAGGAGTCCTGCGAGGGCTGGGCAGGGATGCCCGGGGCAGATACCAGGGGGGATGCCCGGGGTTGAGGGGGATGGGCAGATACCAGGGAGGATGCCATGGGGACAAGATGCCCTGGGGCAGATGCCGGGGGGCAGGGGAGAAAGGGGAATGCCCTAGGCAGGTGCCGGGGGCAGATGCTGTGGGGGGGATGCCTGGGGGTGGATACTGGGGAGGATGCTTGGGGTAGGGGGGCTGGGCAGGTCTCAGGGGCAGATGCTGGGGCAGGGGGGAGATGCACAGGCATGGATACTGAGTAGGATGCCCGGGGGTAGGGAGGGCTGGCCAGGTCCTGGGGGCGGAAGCTAGGCAGGTCCCGGGGGCGATGCCTGGGGGTGGGGGGCTCAGCGGGGATGCCAAGGGACAGATATCAGGAGGGATGCCTGAGGGTGAGGGGCTGGGCGGGTCCCGGGGGCGGATACCAGGAGGGATGCCCGGGGGTGGGGGGGCTAGGCGGGTCCTGGGGATGATGCCCAGGGGCGTGGGGCAGATACCAGGGGGGCAGGTCCCAAGGGCGATGCCCGGGGATAGGTGGACTGAGTGGAACCTGGGTCGATGCCCGAGGGCGGGAGGACCAGGCAGGGATGCCAAGCGACAGATACGGGGGGGTGATGGCAGGGAGTATGGGGGCGATGCCCAGGGGCAGAAGGACTAGGCAGGGATGCCAAGGGGCGGACACGAGGGGGGGCGATGCCTGGGGGTGGGAGGTCCCGGGGGCGAAGCCTGGGAGTGGGGAGAACTAGGCAGGGATTCCAAGGGGCAGATACGGGGGGGGGGCAATGCCTGGGAAGGGGGGGGGGGGGGGGGGGGGAACTAGGCAGGGATGTCAAGGGGCAGATATGGGGGCGGGGATGCCTGGGGACAGGGGGGGACTAGGCAGGGATGCCAAGGGGCAGATACGGGGGGGGCGATGGGTCCGGGGGGGACTAGGCAGGGATACCAAGGGAGATACGGGGGGGCGATGGGTCCCGGGGGGGGGGGGGGACTAGGCAGGGATGCCAAGGGGCAGATACGGGGGGGCGATGGGTCCCGGGGGCAGGGGGGGGACTAGGCAGGGATGCCAAGGGGAGATACGGGGGGGGCGATGCCCGGGGGGGGCGGGTAGGGGACTAGGCAGGGATGCCAAGGGCCAGATACGGGGGGCAGGAGTCCCGGGGGTAGCAGGGCTGGGGGGGTCCCGGGGGGGGGGGGGGGGGAGGGATGAAGGGGAGAGGGGGGGGGGGTCCCGGGGGGGGGGACTAGGCAGGGATGCCAAGGGGCAGATACGGGGGGCGATGAGTCCCGGGGGCGGGGGGGGACTAGGCAGGGATGCCAAGGGAGATACGGGGGGCGGGGGACCCGGGGGCGGGGGCGGGGGGGGGGACTAGGCAGGGATGCCAAGGGGCAGATACGGGGGGGGCGAGGAGGGTCCCGGGGGGGGGGGGGACTAGGCAGGGATGCCAAGGGGCAGATACGGGGGGCGGGGGGACTAGGCAGGGATGCCAAGGGAGATGGGTCGGGGGGGGACTAGGCAGGGTGCCAAGGGGGATACGGGGGGGGGGGTCCCGGGGGGGGGGGGGGGGGGGGGACAGGCAGGGATGCCAAGGGAGATACGGGGGCGAGGGTCCCGGGGGGCGGGGGGACAGGCAGGGTGCCGAACGGGGGGGCGATGGGTCCCGGGGGGGGGGGGACTAGGCAGGGATGCCAAGGGGCAGATACGGGGGCGTGGGCGGGGGGGGGGGGGGGGGGATGCCAGGGGGATACGGGGGGGGGGGAGGGCCCGGGGCGGGGGGGTAGGAGGGGCAAGGGAGGGGGGGGGGGGGGGGGGGCGGGGGTCGGGGGGGCGGGGGGGGGGGGGACTAGGCAGGGATGCCAAGGGGCAGATACGGGGGGCGATGGGTCCCGGGGGCGGGGGGGACTAGGCAGGGATGCCAAGGGAGATACGGGGGCGATGGGTCCCGGGGGCGGGGGGGGACTAGGCAGGGATGCTAAGGGAGATACGGGGGGCGGGGGTCCCGGGGCTGGGGGGGCGGGGGGGGACTAGGCAGGGATGCCAAGGGAGATACGGGGGGCGAGGGGTCCCGGGGGCGGGGGGGGAAGGAGGGTGAGGGGTGGGGCGGGGGTCCCGGGGGCGGGGGGACTAGGCAGGGATGCTAAGGGGAGATACGGGGGGGGGTCCGGGGCTGGGGGGTCCGGGGGGGGGGGGGGACTAGGCAGGGATGCCCAGGGAGATACCGGGGGCGGGGGTCCCGGGGGCGGGGGGGGACTAGGCAGGGATGCCAAGGGGGAGATAGGGGGGCGGGGGTCCCGGGGCTGGGCGGGTCCCGGGGGCGGCTCTCACCACAGCGCCGTTCGCTCCTTCGGGTGCCGCAGCCGCTCCAGGGCCCCCAGCGCCGGCGGCAGCGCGTGCGCCGCGTTCCGGGCGAGCAGCGCGATCAGCACCCGGGGCGCCTGCAGCGGCGACTCCGGGCTCCACCGCTCCTCGGGGAAGTAGGCGCCGCCCGGGGCCGCCAGCAGCAGCAGCAGCAGCCGCCGCCAGAGCCCGGCGGCCGGGGCCATGGTGGGTCTGGACGACCTACACAGCTGCCCTCCGACAGGAAATGGAAATTAAAGGCAAAGGGAAGATGAGCCCGGTACTCGCCACAGTCTCCCCCTAGGAGCACCTCCCCTTTAACAAGCATTTTTACACGCCGACAGGAAAGGGTCCGAGGGCACACACACACCTCCTAGCCTCCCCTCGCCTTTCCCGGCGGCTGGAGAGAGCCCACACGTAGCGCCTTAAAGGGATGGGGCCAGGCTCCGCCCCACGTGAGCCACGTGCCGCTTCCGTGCAGCGCGCGCGGGCTGGCGGGTGGGGCACGAGCCCCCGCCCCGGCCGCTGCTCGGGGGCCGCTCCCAGCCCGGCGCGGTGCCGCGCCCCGGGCGGCGCGCACGTGGCTGCCGCTGGGCGAGGCGCGCTCCCGCCCCGGCCCCGGCGTTTTCTCTCCCGCGGTTCTCCGTCGCGGGTCACGGATCCCGCGTGAGACTGGCCGGTTCGGTTCCCTCCCTCCGCAGCTTCTGGCAGCAGCTGCCCGCAGGCAGGAGCCTGGGCTCGATGGAGGTTCGGCCTGACCCAGTCTCGCTCTTATGCCTAGTAAGGAATCTATAGGCCAAAAAACATTTCCTGGAGCCTTTTTTGTTCTCCGTGTTGTTACAGACCTACTGGTGGACAGGTATTTTGAAATTACCTAAATAATTGAAACTGGCATGATTATATTATTTGGCAAAAAATGTGGAATTTTAAAATAGCGTGCAGAATTTAATTTTGGCACAGCATTCCCCCAGGGGTACACCGTGAGAATAAAGCTTATCTGTGCAGGAGACAGATTTCTGGAGGTCCCAGCCAAGAGTGTAGAACAGGGGCTCTCAAACAGTGGGTCGGGGCCCCTTAGGGCATCACGAGGTTATTACATGGGGGGAGTCAGGAGCTGTCAACCTCCACCCCAAATCCCACTTTGCCTCTAGCATTTATAATGGTGTTAAATATATAAAAAGGTGTTTTTAATTTGTAAGGGGGGAGGGTCGCACTCAGAGGCTTGCTCGGTGAAAGGGGTCAAAAAAAGTTTGAGAACCACTGCTGTAGAATTAACTCCCCCACAAACAAGGACCATCACAAACGGAGTACCTTCTCCAATGGCAAGGACCGTTTCTTTGTCCCTGCCTTCTCTGAGAGAATACAACCACCCAGGTGGTGCTCTGTTTAATTTAGATGGAATAAATGCACCAGAGGTGTTAACATAACCCAGACAGTGTACAACATTAAACATGCTTAAATAGGTCCAGAACTTGGAAATACAGTCATCAGCCTACTTAGTACTATGGCAAAAACACCATTAAAAATCATGTTAACCTTTTATTAAAGCTAGAGAAAAGAAGAAAAAACAGTTAAAAGTATTTGAAATTTAAAATGTGTTAAGGGAGGCTTTAGTTTTAACAATATTCCCTTTTTCTTTAGCTGTATCTAGCGTTCAGAAGGAAAAAGTCCATGTTGCTTGACAGTATCTTGGATTTTTCCAAAGATAGTACTGTAATAACTGTCCTTTTGAGGAAAAGAGCAGAAGTAACTGAGATTGGCTGGAGATGTCTTTGCTGCTGCTGCTGTTAAAGTCCAATCTTAGAAGGAAAAGCCCCCTTGTTTGACAGCCTCTCCAAAGATGATGGTACAGTAACTGTTATCCGAGGTGGTGTTTGGGATTCATGTGGAGCTTGTTGGGGTGATGATCTGGGTCCCCCCCCCCTCAGGATCAGGGTGACTTCCTGTTTGTTTTAAACCTGCTGCCTATTAATTTCATTTTGTGACCGTGTAGTTCTTGTGTTATGAGAAGAAGTAACACTTGCCTATTTACTTTCTCCACACCAGTCATGAGTTTATAGACCTATCCTATCGCCCCTTAACTTTCCAAGCTGAAAAGTCCTTATTAATCATTCCTCCTATGGAAGCTGTTCCATACCCCTGATCATTTTTGTTGCCCTTTTCTGAACCTTTCCCAATTCCAAAATATCCTTTTTGATGGGGTGACCACATCTGCATGCGGTATTCAAGATGTGGGTGTACTATGGATCTAAACAGGCAATATATTTTCTGTCTTATCATCTATCCCTTTCCTAATGATTCCTTGTGGCACCTTAAAGACTAACCAATTTTTTTGAGCATGAGCTTTCATGAGCTACAGCTCACTTCATCGGATGCATACCGTGGAAACTGCAGCAGACTTTATATACACACAGAGAATATGAAACAATACCTCCTCCCACCCCACTGTCCTGCTGGTAATAGCTTATCTAAAGTGATCATCAAGTTGGGCCATTTCCAGCACAAATCCAGGTTTTCTCGCCCTCCACCCCCCCCACACAAATTCAATCTCCTGCTGGTGATAGCCCATCCAAAGTGAAGGAGTACTTGTGGCACCTTAGAGACTAACCAATTTATTTGAGCATGAGCTTTCGTGAGCTACAGCTCACTTCATCAGATGTATACCGTGGAAACTGCAGCAGACTTTATATACACACAGGTTTCAGAGGAACAGCCGTGTTAGTCTGTATTCGCAAAAAGAAAAGGAGTACTTGTGGCACCTTAGAGACTAACCAATTTATTTGAGCATGAGCTTTCGTGAGCCACAGCTCACTTCATCAGATGTGTACCATGGAAACTGCAGCAGACTTTATAAGTACTCCTTTTCTTTTTGTATATACACACAGAGAATATGAAACAATACCTCCTCCCACCCCACTGTCCTGCTGGTAATAGCTTATCTAAAGTGATCAACAGGTGGGCCATTTCCAGCACAAATCCAGGTTTTCTCACCCTCCACCCCCCCACACAAATTCACTCTCCTGCTGGTGCTAGCCCATCCAAAGTGACAACTCTTTACATAATCAAGTCGGGCTATTTCCTGCATAGATCCAGGTTTTCTCACATCCCCCCCACCCCCATACACACACAAACTCACTCTCCTGCTGGTAATAGCTCATCTAAACTGACCACTCTCCAAGTTTAAATCCAAGTTAAACCAGAACATCGGGGGGGGGGGGGGGTAGGAAAAAACAAGAGGAAACAGGCTACCTTGCACAATGACTTAGCCACTCCCAGTCTCTATTTAAGCCTAAATTAATAGTATCCAATTTGCAAATGAATTCCAATTCAGCAGTTTCTCGCTGGAGTCTGGATTTGAAGTTTTTTTGTTTTAAGATAGCGACCTTCATGTCTGTGATTGCGTGACCAGAGAGATTGAAGTGTTCTCCGACTGGTTTATGAATGTTATAATTCTTGACATCTGATTTGTGTCCATTTATTCTTTTACGTAGAGACTGTCCAGTTTGACCAATGTACATGGCAGAGGGGCATTGCTGGCACATGACGGCATATATCACATTGGTGGATGTGCAGGTGAACGAGCCTCTGATAGTGTGGCTGATGTTATTAGGCCCTGTGATGGTGTCCCCTGAATAGATATGTGGGCACAATTGGCAACGGGCTTTGTTGCAAGGATAAGTTCCTGGGTTAGTGGTTCTGTTGTGTGGTATGTGGTTGTTGGTGAGTATTTGCTTCAGGTTGCGGGGCTGTCTGTAGGCAAGGACTGGCCTGTCTCCCAAGACTTGTGAGAGTGTTGGGTCATCCTTTAGGATAGGTTGTAGATCCTTAATAATGCGTTGGAGGGGTTTTAGTTGGGGGCTGAAGGTGACCGCTAGTGGCGTTCTGTTATTTTCTTTGTTAGGCCTGTCCTGTAGTAGGTAACTTCTGGGAACTCTTCTGGCTCTATCAATCTGTTTCTTTACTTCTGCAGGTGGGTATTGTAGTTGTAAGAATGCTTGACAGAGATCTTGTAGGTGTTTGTCTCTGTCTGAGGGGTTGGAGCAAATGCGGTTGTATCGCAGAGCTTGGCTGTAGACGATGGATCGTGTGGTGTGGTCAGGGTGAAAGCTGGAGGCATGCAGGTAGGAATAGCGGTCAGTAGGTTTCCGGTATAGGGTGGTGTTTATGTGGCCATTGTTTATTAGCACTGTAGTGTCCAGGAAGTGGATCTCTTGTGTGGACTGGACCAGGCTGAGGTTGGTGGTGGGATGGAAATTGTTGAAATCATGGTGGAATTCCTCAAGGGCTTCTTTTCCATGGGTCCAGATGATGAAGATGTCATCAATATAGCGCAAGTAGAGTAGGGGCTTTAGGGGACGAGAGCTGAGGAAGCGTTGTTCTAAGTCAGCCATAAAAATGTTGGCATACTGTGGGGCCATGCGGGTACCCATAGCAGTGCCGCTGATCTGAAGGTATACATTGTCCCCAAATGTGAAATAGTTATGGGTAAGGACAAAGTCACAAAGTTCAGCCACCAGGTTAGCCGTGACATTATCGGGGATAGTGTTCTTGACGGCTTGTAGTCCATCTTTGTGTGGAATGTTGGTGTAGAGGGCTTCTACATCCATAGTAGCCAGGATGGTGTTATCAGGAAGATCACCGATGGATTGAAGTTTCCTCAGGAAGTCAGTGGTGTCTCGAAGGTAGCTGGGAGTGCTGGTAGCGTAGGGCCTGAGGAGGGAGTCTACATAGCCAGACAATCCTGCTGTCAGGGTGCCAATGCCTGAGATGATGGGGCGCCCAGGATTTCCAGGTTTATGGATCTTGGGTAGTAGATAGAATATCCCAGGTCGGGGTTCCAGGGGTGTGTCTGTGCGGATTTGATCTTGTGCTTTTTCAGGAAGTTTCTTGAGCAAATGCTGTAGTTGCTTTTGGTAACTCTCAGTGGGATCATAGGGTAATGGCTTGTAGAAACTCGTGTTGGAGAGCTGCCGAGCAGCCTCTTGTTCATATTCCGACCTATTCATGATGACAACAGCACCTCCTTTGTCAGCCTTTTTGATTATGATGTCAGAGTTGTTTCTGAGGCTGTGGATGGCATTGCGTTCCGCATGGCTGAGGTTATGGGGCAAGTGATGCTGCTTTTCCACAATTTCAGCCCGTGCACGTCGGCGGAAGCACTCTATGTAGAAGTCCAGTCTGCTGTTTCGACCTTCAGGAGGAGTCCATCTAGAATCCCTCTTTCTGTAGTGTTGGCAGGGAGACCTCTGTGGATTAGTATGT